AAAAAACCCTTAAATATTTATTAAAGCAGGAAGCATATAATTTATTTATTTCCCTACAGTAGAAGCAGTACTGTACTGTGTGTTTTTAAGTGGAAAATAAGAAAATAGATGTAATTTCTAAAAAATAAGGGATCTGTTTCTAATGATACTTTATCTCAAGGGAGATGATTGTAATTTAACCTAATAAATAATTAAATATACAGCTCTTAAAAAGAGTGTGAAATTGTTGTGTCGGTAATGAATCTCTGAGTTGGCATGATTGTGACCTCCGTTTGAGTCAATATAATAGTTTTGGGTCTAAATTGGGCATGAATTAAATTGTATTGGGCCCAGTTGTAATTACCCCTAATATAAGCCATTCCCCTTTAGCTATTCTGAAATGCTATTCATAGTGCGGTTTTTATCGGCTTGCAGTGCGATTTATTTCATTTGTAACTTTCCTAAAAAAAAACCAAATTCGCCCGCTATTTCGTGTATTATTACACGAAATCCACTCAATAATTTCGTGTCTTTTCACACGAAATAGCGGTGTTTATTGTTATAGAACACGAAGGACGAAACTGTTAGATTAAAAAAAATCGTGTATTTCGTGTAAACGTACACGAAATGGAAGGCCATATTTCGTGGCGTTTTCTACGAAATGGAAGAGCATATTTCGTGGAGTTTTCTACGAAATGGAAGACCATATTTAGTAGATTTTTCCACGAAATATGAAGTGACATTTCGGTAAATTCAGTACGAAATAACTAATTGATTTATTTTTTAACTAACCAATTTATTTCAGACACTCAAATTGACATAAAAATTCAAATACAAATACAAATTGAACTACAATTCAAATACAACTACAAATTGATCTAAATTTCAAATACAAAATTGACACAAAAATTCAAATACAACTACAAATTGAACTAGAATTCAAATACAACTACAAATTGATCTAAATTTCAAATACAAAATTGACCTAAAAATTCAAATACAAATACAAATTGAACTAGAATTCAAATGCAACTACAAATTGAACTAGAATTCAAATACAACTACAAATTGAACTAGAATTCAAATACAACTACAAATTGATCTAAATTGAACTAGAATTCAAATACAACTACAAATTGATCTAAATTTCAAATACAACTACAAATTGATCTAAATTTCAAATACGAATAAAATTGAACTAGATTTCAGATACAACTACAAATTGAACTACCGACCAGACTTTAATTGTTCGTACAAGAGTAGTCGGGGTTTGTACGTTTTGAGTAAGTGCCTCAAATTTTTAGCTCTATGGTGTACCCATGCCGGATGGATTGGTGGTAGTGGACTATTTGCGACCAAATTAACAAACATGAAATGATTGTTGTGCAATGTCACAACAATCATACATGATAAGTGACCACTGCCAAACATAGGAAGGTAAGTCATACTCCCTACTTGAGTCAAAAGTACCACTAATGCACTGTATCTGGTAGCAATGGCCAATCCCATTTCATTCATGTCCATCCAATAAGCTTGTGGACAAGGCCCTGAGGTCCAGTCACACTTGCGTATGACCTCAACGTATCCGGTACTGCCAAACATCGCCGTGTAGACACTAGCATGCTCGTATAACTCAATAAGCAACTCCCCTCTCACTTGCGGCCATCTTTCTTGATCCCCGTACACGGCTTGAGCAACGCACCGATACCCACAGTTGCCATCCGCCATCACGTTAACATAATCTTGAATAAGACGGACCATAAATCTGGGCACGAAAGAATAAAAGTCGATTCCTTCATGTGCAGGTATTGGAGGGGCAGCAGATTCTTGTGTGGGAATACGAGAACCACGACCTTTCATCTTCGATTGAGGCGTTCCATCAGTGCTTCTCTCAACCTTTGTTTTAGGAATCTTTGCACCAGATGAGGTTTGGCGACCCTTGGAACCACAAGACGACTTAATTGTCTCCTCATCAATATGATACTGCCATCCAGAAGGGTCTCTCTTTGTCGAGTTATTCTTTGGTCGTCCTTTGGTCTTAACAAATGATGGCTCGGACAGATGCGACGTAGACGGATAAACGATGCCACGCAATGAGGCCACGGCATTTATCTTACTCGTGTAATTCATCTTCTTCAAATTGCAATTCAGGTCATCAATCTGTCTATCCACAATCTCCTCGCGGTTTACTTGATACTCAGGTAGCTCCGAAGGCTCAACTGCCATGGTACTCCAGAATGGATGCAAGTCTGAAATGACGAACGTGTCATTATCTTCCATTTTCTGCACAATTTTGCACGCGCATGGGAGCCCATGAGTATTCCAAAGATAGTGTGTGCAAATACTCGGATCTTGCATCGCCGGGGACTCCATCTCTTCATCCAATTTCTCTAATGCCAGATGCGTAACATAACAAATCAAACCCTGAAAACACGGCCATGCTGCAGTATGCTTCCTTATCTTGGATGATAATGAAAAATCGCACTTCAGCTCACTAATTTGGATATAAACTTGGTCCCGAAGTTTGCCTTGCACGTTATCCAGACCTCCGGTCGAAGCATTTAACCAACCCTTCGCTGAAGAATGAGCGCTCTCCACCCTATCCAATTACAACAACAATCAGAGCATACAACGACAATCAAATTACAAAATAAATATTATTTTTATATAATATCTTTTATCATTTAAATAACTAAAACATGTAATACCTGTTGGTGCTCGTGTTGCCAAAATGATACACATTGCGAGTATAGGCAAGAACAAACTTCTCCTTGTATATCAACCACGTATCATTCAAATACTGTATCAGCCTAGGATACCCTGCATACCGTCCAACAATTTCATTGTAATTGTAATGATACTCTTCTTCGGTTTCTGATTTCACCAGCTTAGCCCACAGCACACGTCGGAATATTAGACCTTGGTCCTTGTTGCCTCCCATAAATTTCGTCGCATTTGCCTCAACATTTCTGTTTATATGGAATATACACAACATATGATACGAAAATGGGAAGACATTTGGCAGTGCTTTCAAAAGACCCAACTCTCTGTCTGTCAAGATCGCATCAGGTTCGACACCATCTAGCAACTCTTTCAAACAATTCAAAGTCCACTCGTAGGTGTCTGCATCTTCATGCGACATAAATGCAACAGCAATTGTATAATTCCTCCCAACTGGAGTTATCCCAATTATTTCCAAAAGAGGCATTCCATACCTACAACAATGTTGTTTTTACATATTTAAACAATACAAGACATTAAAACACAATAATCATAATTTGAACAATCGTAATTTTTACTTACTTATTGGTTTTGTATGTGCAGTCCATCAATATAACATACGGGAACAACCGTAATAACTTAATAGATTCGGGACATGCAAACATAATATCTGTAATCGTGTTGCTCGTTTCACTATCGACGCGATGCCAATATCGATACTCGCCTTTTTGAAAGTTATGCATCATAAACTGAATAACAGTCATGCCCTCCATTTCCTCAGATTTAATCTTGGCCAACTCATTGTAAACATGCTTCATAGAGGTTTGTATCGTCGGATCATCTTTTCTCAGTCTATCCATGATCAGCATTGGCTTCACGTGAGAATTTCGCAATTCTTTAATTCTTGCTTTCTGTTGTGGAGTTATACGACTAGTCGTACCTTGTCCGTGAGGAAACAAAGTCGGACGATGACTATGCCTGCCATCGCTGACAGTCAACCGCCATAATTCATCAAACCTTGACCTTTTGCCAATCAATTTGAACGGACAACCACATTTTTTTGTTCCTGAGTTTCTAGGATCTTCCACATCGATATTCGTTTGTCTGTCATGTCCGTATTTGTCACACGTCATGTACTGTGCATTCTCCCTTCTAGACTGACAAATCAAACGGTGACAATGACTAACTGCAGTTTCTTTCGCCCAGTTGATTAATTCTTCCCTACTGCCGAACACAATATCAACTTGGAAGAAGTGAGAGAAATCTTCATATTCCTTTTTATCCAAAACCGAGGGATCAAAATACAAATTGTCGTCATATGGCTGCGTAAATACAAAAAAAAGGTTAGATACTTGCACAAAAAAATTAATAACAATACTAGGTATTTCGTGTAAAATTACACGAAGTATATGCATACATTTCGTGTAATTGTACACGAAATGTATGCATACATTTCGTATAGTACTGCACGAAATAAATAACAAAACAGTTTTACTGATATTTCGTGTGACTTTACACGAAATAATAGGTATTATTTCGTAGTATTGTACACGAAATGACTGGAAAATACGAATAAAGTGTTCATTTCGTGCAAAACACCACGAAATGACTTGAATAATTTCGTGATATTCTACACGAAACGACTGAAAATCGAAAAAAATCACACTAAAACGTATTTTTTTACCTCATTTACGGGATCGATGTTGGCCATCTTGATAATCGTTGGGTTTTAACTCATTTCTACGAAAACAAATCACGATCTACGAAAGTCGAAATATTTGGAGGTTGAGAGGATTTTGTAAAAGGTTAAAGTGTTTTTTGACAAATGAATTATTTTGCACTGTAGCTGGAAAAAACCGCACTGATAATAGCAAGCCCCTTAGCTATTTGGTAGAATGATTTTTTCTTTAATTTATTTATTTATTTAGTTTAATAGTTAGAAAGTGTTAAATTCGTAAATATAATCGCAAACCCGATCGTATATTTATCCATTTATATTTATAATATATGGAAATTAACTACTCCTTGAAAAATATCGGAACTTAGTTATGTTCGGTGGTCATGTACGGTCGAATATTTACCGATTTGCAATCTTTCCATCTCCCGAATTATGTAGCTAAACAAACTAAACTAGCAAAATACGTAGAGTTGATTTTTCAAATGATTATTGTGCGCGAATGTGATTATATGTGTGTGCGTGAGTGTGTGTGCGCGCGCGCACATGTGTGTGTGTGGAAGAGTTTCGGTGATGGCTGCAGCGGGATCATAAGTGAAATTAAATCTAAAGGATTACAGAAAAGATAGATGGAATGGTGGAGACAAAGACGGGCATACAAAACTTTTTAGAAAAATACCAAAAGCTCATGGTCCAACCCAAAATACAAACCAACGCTACTTTTTTCTCGTAACAAAACGGAAAACAAGTCCCGAAAAACCGGGCCGAACATAATGAGACTTGGAACAACAATAGCAATTGAACCATTCAATGTCTCATTTGATACTCTTTATTGAACTTGAGCTTAACAAAAACATTCTCCACAATCCTTTCAACAATATTTACACCACAAACAAGCTACAATATATATATATACACAAATACATACACCATTTAGAGTTTCCGTTGCATTGTTCGATCTCCCACCGCGCTGAAAAAACAAAAAAAGCAATCACTTCCACAGTTATTTGTTTGCTCCTAGCACCAAATACATATCTTGATTTTCCAAAATAACGAGGGCCTTTTTCTTATTATTAATGTTCGTAAAACGAAAAACATTTTCGATGTTCTCAATTCTCATACCAACCAAAATCATACGCAAACAAAAAAAAAAAAAAAAAAAAAAAAGCCCAGATTATTATTATTATTATCATTATTACTATGAACCAAACTCACCAGCAATGTAGCATTTCTCCTTTTCATTAAACAGCATAAATCCTTATAACTTGATCAATCTCTGCACGGCAAACGGGGCAACCCCATTTCTTGGACTTAATCTCGTTCAGACAAGACATGCACCCGGCCAGGTGTCCACACGGCACGCATGCTCCCTCGAGGGGAGCGTCCAGACATATCGTACAAGACGAATTTGTATCACTCTCTTCATTATTTTTTTCGTGGGCCCCACCGAGAGAGCTAGTGTTGACAGCTGGATAGTGAACTTGACCGTCGTCATAGTCCACGTCAGCATTTGCTGCGGGAGGAGCCGATGCAGTAGAGACTACTACAGAAGGATTCTGGGGAGTTGTAATTTGGCTCCGGAAATGCTGAGCTGGACCGCCAGCTGGCTCGGCTTCTAGAACTTCGCACTTGCTTCCGTTTGAGGCGTTGGTTGCAATATTTAGTTCCTCGTTTTCGGAAATTGGTGGTGCAGAAGCAGAAGCAGAAGCAGCATGAACTTGGCTGCTGGGAGGAACAAGTGGGTGCATCGCCTAATTTATTTATTTTAGAAATTAATTAAAATAAAATAACAGAAGTTTTTAAGAATAGAAGTAAGATTAAATAGCGGAAATTGAATTTGTTTCTCATATTTCACCTGAGGAATTCCTTTACAAGCATTGCAAAAACGCTGCAATTGCTGTTTTTCACTTTCGTGCACAGGTGCAAGTCTGATTCGCGTGCCTGCAAAAATCCAGGAAATAAAAAACGAGTCGTATTCATTAACTCAATTTTCACTTCAATTATCCAGAAATTACTGTAATCACTTTTATCCTCTTCATTTGCACACTAACAGAGAGAATTATTTCTGCTAATCAACGATAAGAAAATTAATTATTAAGTTGAATAATGCAAGCTCAAAAATAAAATATACTTACGCCTTGCTTCTTGGCAGGACTTAATCTCCCGTCTTTTCCGCCAGCGTCTCGGAACTAAGCATAAAAATAAATAAATTAATAAATAATACAGAAAGTGGCCACCTACATATATAATACAACACATACAGTATATATAAAACTATGAATTTTAAGAACTTACTTTTTGAAACATCAGATATAATAGCAACTGGATCGGGCTGGTTAAAATTTGGTTCCTCTAGATTAGCCTTCCACAGGGGTATAATTGTCCGTGGTTGCCCATCCTTGTGGAAACAAAAAAGTACGAGTTTTATGTAAATACAATCCCACCATTCGATAATAAAAAAACACTAAAATAAGTAACTAGAATAGCACTCGGTTATCGAAACATATACATATAGGCACCAACACACCTGTGGACCACCATATATGGCAAGCTCCAACCGGAAAGGTTTTCTGGGATTGCGGGATCCACAAGGCAAAATAGCCACCCATCTGCATATAATTTATGTCAAAAAGACCATGCAAGAATATGAGTATAGCTTCAAAAAAGGACAATATGGTCATTCACCCACACTTTTCGAGAAAGAAACTGTGGAGCAAGAAGTTCGAGAATGCTCGGTCCGTGAAGTTCTCGCAGCCAACCGGAGAATAAGCAGAGATGCCCCTGAGAAAATCAACGCGAAGAAGGTTTGAATTTTTCAATAACTGGTTCTACAAAAAGGCAATTTAAAAATTATTTTAAAACTATAGCATCGAAATGGTTGCAAAAAAGAAGGATACCTCGATTGCTCGGACAATATTAGTGTATCCTTTTGATCTAGCAACATCAAGTGGGGTTTGACAATCATCGTTCATTACCATCGCATTTGCTGGAATTATTTCCAATGGAAAGAATTAATTGAAATAAAAATAAAACTGAGACACGAAAAAAGAAACATGATATGTTTTTTTTTCAAGAAACACACACCTCCATGTGAAAGAAGCAACTTGAGAGTCTGCTCGAGGCCTCGTTTTGCAGCATGATGTAGCGGAGTTCCAGCTTGTCGACCTTAAAGAAGGGAACAACGAAAAATAGGGAAAAATTAAACTAGGAAAAATTAATAAGAACTGAAATGCTAAATGCCGTTTCCCGTTTCGACTTCAAATGTGATTTTTGACCATTTTTAGTCCGAATTTGGCGAAATTCAAAGCATCAAATATATAGTTCCTTGAGTTAGTTTTCTTATACGCTAGATTGAATGTCGAGTGAGAGATTAAATATCAGGTGAGAGAGTAATGCATGAATGGGTTACAGTCTAAATCTCAGAATACTCAAAACATCAAATTTGGTGTTCCGAATTTAGTCAAACTCGGACTAAAAATGGTCAAAACCACATTTGAAATCGAAACGGTACCAATAAAATTGAAACCAGCATTTAACACCTCCCCACAACTAATAATAATTTCTTCGATTAATCGAACCAAAAAAGTCATTTTTCCTACCTTCCGAACCACCACAATCAATATTTTTCCAAATTAAGTATGAAAAAAAAAAAACACAAAAATTGGGTGAACACCGAATTAAATATTACCTGGACGATAAGCATTGACATTGGCACCCAACTCTATCAATGTATTAGCAACATTATAAAGCTGTGGATTCATACAAGCTACGATTAATGGAGTCTTCCCTTCTTTGTCAATCCACTGCGCCACCAAATATCACCATTTCAGAAAGAAAAAAAAAATATTAATTTTAATCAGAAATTAAAATTAATATTTGAAGGAATATTACCTCCAGGCCGGCACCATCACGGCGGAGAGATTTAATTTCTTCGACGCTACCAGAATTTACTTTCTCATAAAGCAATTCGTCTTTCGATTGCTGCAGCCCCATTCTTCCAGATTAATTAGGGTAAAATTATTTGCTTCAATTATGGTTGAATCCAAAACCCCTCAAATGAAAATTTCGAATTTGTGGGGTTTCAGAAAAATAGAGAGAAACTTCGGGGTTGCTTAAGAAGGAAGGGAGAGAAAAAATGAAATTTGGATGAGCTAATTCCGCTGATTTTGTTCTTGGATTTTGTCGTGACGACGACGTTTTACCTATGAAAAAGGTGATGTAAACGCGGGTGTCAAAAATAATTGGGTAAATTACGAAAAACCCCTAAACTTATGCTAAATAATGAAAAATACCCCCATCTATCCGTAATAATCAAAATCCCTCTTTGATTAACTCTTGGTCGAGTTTTTTTTAACAGAAAATGTGTATAGTCTATTCTATCTTATGTTCAATAGGTGAGAAATAAAAGAAAATATCTTAAATTGTGTAAAATCTATTCCCTGAAATAAAAAAAAAAAAATCATGGTAAGGGGCTCATGTAAGACGGAAACAAACCTCAAGGGATTTACGAATAGGTTGGGGTGTTTTTCGTTATTTAGTCTAAGTTCAGGAGGTTTTCGTAATTTAGCCAAAATAATTTCTCATTTAATTGCACCAATATAGTAGTTGTTTGGTATCGGTTGAACTTCTAGATGCTAGTCTTTAAATTCAACTTTTAAACAAGCAAAGTCTTAATTACACTCTTTTAAACAGCAAAGTCTAATTACATTCTTTAATCGCCTTACATTATGCCATATGCTTGTGTTTAGGGTAATTTAATTTGTACCCTATCGCCCCAAATTACCGTCATTTGGCAACCATACCCTCAAAATATTTAAAATATTGGCATCCACCCCTTCTAGAATATATTATTTGGCGATCCTACCCTTTTTCTGTTTTTTTTCATTATTATATTGTTTTTTGAAACATTTTTTCATTAATGTCACTAATGAAAATAGAAAATTTAGTTTTTTTAATGCTATGTAGGTGTGGAAATTAGAAGGGTCAAATTAAAATTAATATTGTCGGAATTTTTTTAAGCTTTTTTAGAGGAAAGACGAGATATTATTAGGCATTCATAGCCAAAGAAGAAGGGAAAGTAGACCCTCTCGAATGGCTCCAAAAGGTTTAATTATAGTATGTTCTTGGTTGCCTAAGGTAATCCATCACGGGTAGACGGTCAAAATCTCGAGCTACCGATGAAGTTTTATAAGAGTTTGGTCTCGGTGGAAATGCGACATCAACGCTAATCCTAAAGCCCACATTTAGCTATATTATGAGTTCGAAATTGCCCTTCTTCGTTAAATGTCGTGAGATATGAATTGCACCAGCTTACTACCTCCTCAAGTTTAATGTGCTCGTCGTCATTGTGCACAATCCAAGTGTATAGAACGGGAACACACAGGTAAAACTTCTATAAATTAATACAGTTGGAATCAGAAAAATTCTATTAATTTAGCGAATTATTAAATTATCGAATTAATAATTTAACATGTTTTCACCGAGTCGGGACCGAGAGAAACTATTACTTAATCGAGGTTATTAATTTATCGATGTTCTATTGTAGTATTATTTTTGAATTCGATTGTAGGTCAATTTATAAAACAATTTTTAAAAAGAACTAACTCGAGTCCCCGACCAATTTGCCATAAAATTCCGGACAGTTGTAAAAACCTTCGGCCTAATAAAAGACAACCCACTTCAATTTCCTTACTAGGCCCAAGTGCCAAGTTCGGCCTACTATGTGGAACTAGTCTCGGCCCATCACTATATATCATTGAATTTGTAGATATAATTTATAACACAAAAATAAAATAATAAAGAACACAGTAGAACCTCGATAAATTCATAATCTCACCTTAATTATAGTTTTTTATGATCCCAATTCCATTAAAACCTACTAAATTATTAGTTCAATAA